ACGTAAAATAAATATTAATGTACACACGGTAAATAAATTATCTCTTCGAATGCAGAGCCTCCACTATAGCAAAATCAGTGAAAAATATGAACACACAAAAAATCTACCGATAGCAAGCTACAATAATGCTGTTCCTAGACTATTAATTGGCATAGATTATTGGAAACTGGGCCTTGATCAGAATATAAGGGAAGGACGGCCGAACGAACCGGTAGCTGTAAAGACATTACTTGGGTGGCACATCTACGGAACAGTTGGTGGTGCTGCGGTGACGCGCGAACATTGGCATTTCTGTGTTTGTGAGTGTTCTAAAGAAAGCGACGTTGAGCTACATGCTTTGGTTAACAAATTTTACTCCTTTGAAAGCTTAGGCGTTGCGGTTACGCAAAAATCGCTCACTAGTAAAGAAAATGCGCGTGCGTTAAATTTATTACGAGAAAATACTCACCAAACTGCCAATGGTCACTATGAGAGCAGCCTTCTGTAGCGCTTCGATGAATTTGAATTGCCGGATAGCTACTGCATCTCAAAAAATCGATTGATATGTTTAGAGAAAAAGCTCCAACGGGTGCCAAGTCTTAAGGTGGTTTTCGATAATACCATAGCTGAATATTTAAAAAAGGGATATATTCGTAAGCTGACAGGTAGGGAAATCAGCCAATATGCACAACAGCGTATATGGTATTTGCCGATATTCGCGGTTTTCAATAGAAACAAACCGGGTAAATCACGCGTAGTATGGGATGTTGCAGCTAAATCGCACGGCGTCTCGCTCAATACTTTTTTTTTTAAAGGGCCTTATCTTCTTGTATCTTTGCCTGCAGTTTTACAGTGTTTTAGGCAAAAAACTATCGCTATATCGGCAGATATTCAAGAAATGTTTCATCAAGTGCTGATTCGCCCTGACGATCAACACGCTCAACGTTTTCTATGGCGCGAGTGTGACGTTTCGGCTGAACCGCACATTTACGCAATGAACGTAATGATTTTTGGAGTAGCCTGTTCGCCTTGTACTTCTCAATTTGTGAAAAACTTGAATGCTGACTATCTCGATTCTGTTGACGACAAAGATGACGCTATCACGCTGGCGAAGGACGTGCAACGTATTCATAAGGCTGGCGGATTCAATATTCGGAATTGGTGTTCAAATTGTCCAGAAGTTCTGAACGCCTTGGGCGAATCGGCATCTGAGCTTAAGATTAATATCAGTGGTGATAATACCACAGAAAAGGTACTAGGGGTATTTTAGGTTCCGAATGAGGACGTAATTACATTTAGACTTTCACCTTTATTGTGGCATAAAGAAATTTTTAATGGAAACAAAGCGCCAACGAAGCGCGAAATGCTAAGCATCGTTATGTCCATTTATGATCCTCTTGGCCTAATAAACAACATATTAATTTTTGGAAAAATATTATTACAAGCCGTTTGGCGTAGTTCAGTAAACTGGGATGAAGAAATTGCTCTTGGCCTAGCCAAAGAGTGGTTTCAATGGTTAAAGTATCTGCCTATTTTACAGAACATCAAAATTCCGCGGTGCTACTTAAAGCATCACGCCAATTACGAAAGGGCTGATGTGCAACTGCATACGTTTGTCGACGCAAGCGATAGCGCTTAAGCTGCAGTATGTTACATACGTGTATCAAAAAACAGCGTCGCCGAGTGTTCTCTTATAGGTTCAAAGGCTAGAGTAGCGCCATTAAAACAAATTTCAGTTCCCAGACTAGAACTGATGGCCGCTCTAATTGGTGTTCGGTTTTCGAAATTCGTAATGGAATCGCTATCAATTAACATAAACCGAAAAGTGTTTTAATGTGATGCAAAAACTGTGCTAAGGTGGCTGTACTCAGACAGTAAGCGCTACCATCAGTTCGTAGCGCTACGTGTGGGTCAAATTTTAGAGTCTAGCGATATTTCGGAATGGAGATGGATCGCGTCAAAAAATAACGTTGCGGACGAAGCCATCAAACGATATAAGAAATTCGAGCTTTCTTCATCCAACCGTTGGTTCAATGGTCCGGAGTTTCTTACTTGGCCTGAAGATGATTGGCCACAAGAAAAACACAATATTGAA